GACTAGTAACTCAAAGAGCAGTGCTGTCCCTTTGCCTGGGGATAGATGCTGGCCTTTGTGGCAAGGTAAGGAAGGTAAATTGGTGACAGATTCAAGTTGTTTTTTTGTTTAAATGTGAAGTCTCCCCTGACTTCAACAGATGGGGCACATAAAATAAATACATGCAACTGCAATTTATTTCACTTGCAGAAATCTCAGCTATAATAGCTACATGTGTGCAGGAAGGCCTGGCTTATAGCTATAGGGCCTGGGACTGAGAATCAAAAGAAAGAAAGAAATTAAAAAAAAAAAAAAGAAATTATTTCTTTCTTAAACTCTCAGTCTATCCATGAGGGAAGTTCATTACAGGGGCACTTTCAAAAGCATCACATCCAAAGATGAATAAATCATACTGCTGCACTTGAGGTCCATTTCGATCATTACATGGAGATATTTCCTCTGCTGGGCTGTGCCCGTGTGCTTTCTGGCTGCAGAAGCAGACAAGTGGGTATGTCTGCCTAGATGAAACTTTAAGCAACTGAGCCCAACACTGAGCTCAAGCTCCAACAGATCTGCCCCCAAGCCTGATGTCTCATCCTTCATGTATCAAAGCAGTGCAGGCGACACTCCATGCTAACTACTCGCTCTCCTCCATGCCTCAGCTCCTCAGTGAACCACTGACAGTTCTACTGTCCGTCTTATAAAATGAAGAATTAAATTGCACCTGCACATGTCAGTACACACACACTCTCACACACTGATTTAAAAATAAACTTTTTAGAGTACAGTTAGTCTGCAATGTTGTTGACATATAAAATGGGATCACTTGGAAGCATTTCCACTTGCTGCTGAGACTGGCTGAAGACTCTAGTGGGGAAAATCTGCAAATAGTCAAAGTTAACCACTGCTGTGGCCCTCCACCTCTCAGCTATGGCAGAGCAGAGGCATTTTCCCTGTGGAAAGCAAAAGGTCAAGGGCTACATTCTCAGGAGTCACTGTGCCCTGTACACATCCCAGTTTTTAAATCCCCAAGCCACAGACATGGAGAGCTGGCCCAACACTGCTGGTAGACTCAAAATCAAATGCTCAAATTCTACCAATATAAGTAAGACAGCTGAAGGTACAATTTGGCTTTGGAAGGAGTTCACTTGTAATATTTAAGTTCATCACAAACCCCAACAAGATCTATGTCCTTGCATATCTGTAACGTACTTGCCAGCAATGTAATCAGTTTGTGTACCTGTCAATGAAAGCTGCATTTCAATAGGCTTTGCATTCTATCCCGTCACTGTCTGCCTTTTGCTCAAAAGTTTAATTCTTCATGGGAAGTGTCTCTTATCCTAGTTTAAGAGTTTTAATTTTTCATGGGAAGTAAGTTTAAGGGCAGTGGGATTCATATGATGGTCTTCTTATGGTGGTGATGGCAGAGAGCGTTATCTGGAAGGCATCCTAGTTTTGGCTGCATGCTCTTCGTACAAATTGTTTATATAATAGTCATACATAGAGCTTGCTACATCTTTCTGGAGACACTGCTATACTAGGGTGAAGTATGAAGGTGCTGATCTCCTCTTACAGCATCCTCTACCAGCTTCAAGAGGGGATATTCAACATAGTCCTGAAACCATAAACATATGCCTGAGTTTACTAAGATCCTGTAGAGCAGAGCAGAGCAAAGGTACTTCTTTTGCCAAAATGCTTGGTTCTATCCTAGACAGAGTCAGCATTACTGGTTGCTGAAATAAGGGCTCTTCTTTGGTTTTGCTCTTACATTTTGCAAGATCTGTTGACCTACAAGGTCTCCAGTTCCTGGATGCTTCTATAATAACAAAGGCATCATGTGAACAAACACTAGCAGCAGTCTCAAGAGATTAATCAAAGTCTTCTTGTCTGCAGAGGCTAAATTACATTCAACCTTGGAAGTGACAAAACTTACTGCTTTCAGATGTTGAAAAAAAGCTTACCTTTTTGTAAATTCCTAATAATCCACCCTTCTAATTGTTTTCAGGCATTAATTCATTAACATTCCATTACAGGTGTCATGTGATCACTCTCCCACTCTGGAAGGAGGGCTTTAATTTAGTTATGATTGCAGGAATGTAATCTCAGAAGAAAATGAAAACAAGCACTTAGCAGATGTATGAAGTATTACATGTTATGCAAGCCTGCGACACAGAATCATAGAATAGTTGGAAAGGACCTTGAGATCATCTAGTTCCAACCCCCCTGGCATGGGCAGGGACACCTCATACTAAACCATCTCACCCAAGGCTTCGTTTATTACACACCTCTTATTTCAGTACAAACCCACCTTTGCTGTTTAGAAGGCAAGTGCACATCTTATGTTGGTCATTCAGTCTGAAAAACTATGTATTTCTCTGCTCTTCAGCCAGTTTTGGTGCAGTTCTTTATTACAGTATTTTCGGACTAGCTATCTTCTCCATCTTCCACTTTTGCATCCAAGGCTTTCCTTGCAAGAGGTGTAACATGTTTCAGCAGTGAAACAATAGCGTTCCTTTAGATTTGCCACAGTAGTATTGAAAACACAAATTTGGCTTGACTTCCCTGTGTTTTTACAGAGACCTTAATGAACTTTTAATTCTTTAGCTAGCTGTTTAAAGGTGCTCCATGCAGCTGTTTAGAAGAATTTAGAATGAAAATGTGAAATGCAACACTGAAGATCAAAGCAGAACTTCTCTAAGCATGTTACACACCTCCCTCTGGCATTACTCAGAGGACTTTCCTCAGCACTCGAGTATGTTGACAGGACACCCATCTCTACATTGTGCCTTACAGTAAGCAGTGCAAAGCTCCACTTTACAAGATCTTAAAAACCTGCTCCACTTCACAGCTTGCCTCCCACCCCCACCCAAGTCACTCACTCAGAGCAGTCTTCTGTGAAGCGTAAGGCTACATGAGATCCAGTCCACTGTGCAAAAGTTATGCCGAGAGTCCAAGTAAACAATCATTCTAAATCATAGAATCATAGACTCATAGAATAGTTTGGGTTGGAAAGGACCTTAAGATCATCTAGTTCCAATCCCCCTGCCACAGGCAGGGGCATCTCACACTAAACCATCTCACCCAAGGCTCTGTCCAACCTGGCCTTGAACACCGCCAGGGATGAAGCATTCACAACTTCCTTGGGCAACCCATTCCAGTGCCTCATCACCCTCACAGTAAAGAACTTCCTCCTTATATCCAGTCTAAACTTCCCCTATTTAAGCTTTAACCCATTACCCCTTGGCCTATCATTACAGTCCCTAATGAAGAGTCCATCCCCAGCACCCTCATAGGCTGCCTTCAGATACTGGAAGGCTGCTATGAGGTTTCCACGCAGCCTTCTCTTCTCCAGGATGAACAGCCCCAACTTCCTCAGCCTGTCTTCACACAGGAGGTGCTCCAGTCCCCTGATCATCCTCGTGGCCATCCTCTGGATTTGTTCCACCAGTTCCATGTCCTTTTTATGTTGAGGACACCAGAACTGCACACAACACTCCAGGTGAGGTCTCACCAGAGCAGAGTAAAGGGGCAGGATCACCTCCTTTGACCTGCTGGTCATGCTCCTTGTGATGCAGCCCAGGATATGGTTGGCGTTCTGGGCTGCGAGCACACACTGCCAGCACATGTTCGTTTTCTCATCAACCAACTCCCCCAAGTCCTTCTCCGAAGGGCTGCTCTGGATCTCTTCTCTGCCCAGCCTGTAGCTGTTCTTCCATACTTATTCTATATACCTTAAAGCAGCCTTCCAATACCTAAAGGTGCCTACAAGAAGTATGGGGGGACTTTTTACAAGGACAGGTAGGGATCGGTCAAGGAGGAATGGCTTTAAGCTGAAAGAGGAGCATGTTGCTCTTGCACACTGAGATTCCTTCACTGTCAGCTTCAAGCTGGCAGAGGTTAGATAGGAAGAAACTGTTTACTATGAGAGTGGTGAGGCACTGGCACAGGTTGCCCAGAGAAGCTGTGGCTGCCGCACCCCTGGCAGTGTTCAAGGCCAGGTTAGACGGGACTTTGAGCAATCTGGTCTAGCAGAAGGTGTCCTTGCCATGGCAGGGGGGTTGGAACCAGATGATCTTTAAGGTCCCTTCCAACCCAAAACATTCTATGATTCTATGATCTTAACTGCTAGAAAATATTATAAATGTAGAGCAAAATAAGAAGTCATAAATATCAATATGAATCCACAAGTTGTATGAATTAAAAAAAAAGTCACCATAGCATTACATAATACCCATGTATTTATTTGGAGCCCATTTTATTTCTCCCAACAATTCACAAAAGGTGTACTAGTACAGGTGAATTTTCTGCTTTATAACAAAGTGACCATGTCTGGACTGTTGGTTGCTGATCTATCTTTCACAGTGAAAGAATGAATGCTAAATCTTTTTTTAAAAGATTTTTTATTTAAAAGAATATTCATTAATATTCAGTAAGCTGCATCATACAGACTTAACTAATCTCCTTACTGAGTTAAAGTGCCATCAGCCAAGCCAAACACACACTGAAAAGCGTATTCTCTTCAGTTTGGGCGAAGTCTTACGAACTTTGAATGCAGACAGTTCATTACATGCAAAGCCTTATAAAGACTATAATGAGAGTGTCAAGTACATTTTTAATGCGTGTCTGCATATCAAGAAATAGCAAGTTCAGCACACATGAAAATAAAAACATAGTTCACACAACCAAGTGTATATACTCACTGAGTAACAGTGACCACTAAAAAAAGCCTTTGTGCTTCACAGCTAAACTGTATGCAGCTCAACAGTTTTGTTCACTGTGCCATAAGGCTGCCAACAGCACTGAAGCCTGAACAATCCAACAGCACTGAGGCCTGAACAATTCAAGTGTAAGGTAGCAGTAGAACTGTTTACTCCATTCTTCATGGTGATGGCTCAAAAAAAAGACAACAATGTATTATTATTAAGACCTATTTTCAAAACTTTTTTATAGAAGTGTTTCACCATCAGTACCCTGCATTGTCCAGCCCAACTGCAAGTAGTGCAACATGACAAATATACATATGCATTGCAAAACAGTTTTGCTTAATTTTTGTTTGTAAAACATGAGTTTCCAAGCAGATTAATCAGAAATTATATTCACGCCCTAAAACTCTATTTATTTCAGACATTTTTGAATGCCTGTGTCTAATAATTATTGTCCTTTATTTCAAAACAGAGTTCCAGCATAAATCACTCCCTTGTTTAATACTTACTGAGCAAAGTAACTTGCATTCCCACACCATTTAAACTGAGAATTAGAGTGTTTCAAATATGCATTGCATAGTTATCTGCATTCTGTTTTGCAGATTCCCCTGACACTTATTTCAATAAGCCAACCATCACTTCACTGATATCCCACAACTTTCTCGCAATCAAGTCATCCATGGCTTTGGGCAGGAGCTCTTCCTCTTTGCAGTCCCCGAAGTATTTTCCTGACACACCTTCAACATCAGGAGAAGAGGCTAAATAAATAGTAGTCTGGGCTCCTTCCAGAGGTGTTTTGAAGAAAGCCCATGACACCAAGCTGAATAGAGGTTTAGCCAGCAAAGGAATATTCACGTATCTGCCTAGATTTGTTCTGACAATTCCAGGATGAAGTGAATTGACGGTGACTCCTGTCCCTTCTAACCGACGGGCTAGTTCCCTTGCAAATAATATGTTAGCCAGTTTACTCCGACTGTAACAAAAGCTTTTATTGTAACTTATTTCACTGTTCAGGTCTTCAAAGTTGATCTCTCCATATTTGTAAAGCTTTGAGGATACTACAACAACCCTGCTTGGAGCAGAATTTTTGAGGAGGCCCAGAAGAAGGTTGGTGAGCAAGAAGTGACCCAAGTGGTTTACACCAAATTGCATCTCAAAACCATCCTCTGTCTTCATGTACGGACACTGGAATATTCCTGCATTATTTATCAGAACATCCAGCCTTGGCTCTTCCTTTAGACAGGAAAGAAAAAAATTATTCCATTTTAGAACTGTCATGCAAAACATACCACTATGCTTAATATTTATCATTGGCCACTGTTACGAATGATTTAATTCCTAGTTTTCTGAACTGTAACTTCCTGATATTTTCTTAGAGCACTTCTGAAAAAAACACAAACCCTAAATTGAACTAACATTAAAGAGAGCACTTGACCCTACCAGTATACAGGTACGAGACTAGGTCTGTATCTAATTTCAATGCAGGCAAAGAAAACAATCATCTGCATCAACAGGAGCAGCTTCTTCTATAGCAATTCAATGATAATTTATCTTTGTGATGGGTTTTGTTTTCCTCTAAAAAGTATGTGTTTATCGTGCTGCAAAAGCACACACATTAATTTATGGCAAACCTCGGCCATAGGCAAGGGGTCTAATGTGCAAAAGGCACAGATGTGGAACAGAAAGCAGTAGCCCAAAGAACTGACCTCAGGATTGAAGAGAAACTATTACATTGCAGACCCATCATCTCACTAGGAGCATGTCATGGAGAACTTTGCAAAACAGCATTTTAATGATTCTAAACAGTGTCTTATTTTAAAATCACCTCATTGTGCTGCTTGGTGAGAACTATGGAGCAGAACTCATCATATAAAAGTAACATTAATGATTCATACAACTTGAGACTTAACAGGTCTACTCAATAACTAAGAGACAGTCTTGAAATATTTATGACATGCTCAGCACATGCTATTTGATGGATCAGTATTCTGGTTCAGGTTGGTAGAAAACACACTCAAGGAGGTACGCTACACTCTACAGAATCAGGAAACGTAACCAACAGAGAGGGTGGTACAGATAATTTAAATATAATATATCAATGCACTTCATGCTCCAGCATCCACTCAAAAATTAAGAGCTCTCCAATTTACCCAAAACAGGAACTTCTTCTAGAAAAACCCCAACCAAACAAACAACAAATAACCCAGATTAAAGTAAGCTGCCTGAAGAAGCTCCAAATTCAATGCTTTCACCCACCTCTGACAAAAGACTGTGAAAGTATCACAGGAAATTTATGCATGCACAAACCATAAGTGAATTTGTATTCCCTTTATAGAAAAAGCAGCATGAATTTTCTTTGCTGTTCATTCTTTAAACCCAATGCAGCCACTGGAAAGCATTTTATCTTATGGTAAAAATAGAGAACCTCAAAATGAATTTTGTACCATTTGCCTTTTATTTGACTGCCATTAGCAGCAATACTACATAGAGTGAAAATCAAAATCCGCACTTAGCATTGTTAACAATGCTGCCATCTGAGCACACAAAACATCAAGTACTTCAACCTCAAGACTGACTTCTGTGGGATCTGAGGTTGCTTAGTGTTTCATATAATTGGGTCCCTGAGGCATGATCCAAAGACCATCACTCATTTCTCTCTACCCAAAGGGACATAATAGCTACCATCACTAAATCGGGGCAGGACTGAAGAAGTACTGATTGTAGATCTGCTCATTGAAGTGACATTTCTTTCTTCTTTTGAGAAAAACATTGCTTTAGAAACTTTCTGCAGAATCTAATTGAAGGATTTATTTTGCAATACTAACACTTCAAGAAGCAAGAGTTCCACCATGTGCTATTTGCTGAGACTCCTATATTTTATAATCATAGAATGGTGTGGGTTTGAATGAGGCCTTTCAGATCATCCTGTTCCATGTCCCCTGCCACTGGCAGGGATATGATCCACTAGACCAGATTGTTCAAAGTCCTGCCCAGCCTGTCCTTGAACACTGCCAGGTTTAGGGCATCTACAGCTTCTCTGGGCAACCTGGGGCCAGAGCCTCACCACCCTCACAGTGAAAAATTTCTTTCTAGTATCCAATCTAAATCTCCCCTTTGTCAGTTTAAAGCCATCACCCCTCATCCTATCACTACCTGCTGTTATAAAAAGGCTCATAAATAATCTAGAGTAAGTAATATGATCAATGTGAAGCAAGTAGTGGCTATGCCCAAGTACAACAGAATGCACAAAACACTGCTCTGATAGCCAACGTTATCCCTTGTAGCTCCTTAGTTCACTTCCATTTTCTCCATTTTTCCATAAAACCCTCCAACATCTCAAAAGTCTTTTATTTTTTTGCAGTGAGATAAAGGAGTGCAAGATGTGATCAACTGCAGCTGTGCAGAGGAAAGATTCCACAAATAAAGTGAGGTGGTGGGAGTGCACTGTTTCCCCATCCTGACTATATTTAAGTATTCTTCATCTCAACACAAAACCCCACAAAACTCCCCAAAGAAACCAACCCAACAATCCCCCAAACAATCAGTTCCAATAACAAGCTCCAAAAAGGTTAAAAACCACGAACTTGGGTGGCACAGCTCCTGAAATTATTTCTTGAACTCACACCCCTTGCAATTCAGATTCTTGGATTATTCTGAAAAACTCAAGTTGAAATGCACGTGTCAGCAGCACTCTGCAGGTACATGCACTCTCTTTTCCTTCACCCACTTCTTGCTTAAAAGTCACTTGTACTAGCTTTACCAACAAGGAGATGCTAACAGATTCATGTCTGGTACTGAAAAAAAGGCAATTCTTAGAAGTTAGACAGGTTTGTTTTTTTTTTTCATTTATGATGGGTGGGTTATATCCTTTGTGTATGCATATTTTCCCAGAACACTGAAGGAAAGCTAGACTTTATTGCTGGATTTGAATGAATATGACCTCAAAAAGCACCACTATTAAGTTAAAACTTTGACTTTTCCCAGATATCTAAATTTTAGAAATGCTATTTGAAAGTCAATGCCCTGGGATGCCTGAGTGGTTGCTGACAAGTACTTAACCACTGCTCTGAGCAGCAGCAGAAATACTAAGCCTGGCTTCCCATGACTTTGCGTCTCATAGCTTGAGTAGCTAGATGGGGTGAGATGAGAGTCCCAAACAACACTTTTCATGGAAGTGAATTACTTCAATGGAAGTGGAGGAATACTGCCTCCAACAGTGCCTCTATCTGCTTACCAGTGTCTAATAACACTGCTGAACTCACCTAGTGGCATTTCTGTCAGGTGAATCAACTGGATGTACCCGGTCTCCTCAAACTCAGGTTTTCAGGAACTCTGCAGAAACATTATATATTCAAAAATGTGTATCTGCTAAAGTCTGATAGAACCGGTGAAGAGATCATAAAATGTGCATGGGGGGACAGAGTCTGAGGAGATGGCAGAAGGAAGGTTGGAGCTGTGAACAGTGCATTCATGAACTTTTATTTCTCTGGAGACAAAGCTGAGCTATAACACCAATTTAAATCAAAAAAGGCAGGTTAAAGTAGAGTAACTGAAGATCCTAGGGCTGAAGCACCTCTCTTGTGAAGACAGGCTGAGAGAGTTGGGCTTGTTCAGCCTGGATAAGAGAAGACTCCAGAGGAGACCTTAGAGCAGCTTTCCAGCACCTAAAGTGGGCATACAAGAAAGCTGGAGAGGGACTTCTTACAAGGGCATGTAGGGATACGACAAGCGGGAATGCTTTAAACTGAAAGAGGGGAGATTTAGATGAGATATTAAGAAGAAATTATTTCCTGTGAGGGTGCTGAGGCACAGGCACAGGTTGCCCAGAGAAGCTGTGGCTGCCCCATCCCTGGCATTGCTCAAGGTCAGGTAGGGCGGGGCTTTGAGCAACCTGGTCTAATGGCAGGTGTCTCTGTCCATGGCAGGGGGGTTGGAACTAGGTGATCTTTAAGGTCCCTTTCCAACCAAATCATTCTGCGGTTCTATGAATTAAGAGAGAAGACAAATCATTTATCGCACGCAGAAGCAAGTGCTTCCTTTTCAGACCAGGAAAGAGGTAGAATAGCTTGGACTATAACAGAACAAACTAGTACGAACTTTATGCTTCCAGGTACTAATCCACGGCCAATTTACTTATACCCTCCTTCCAAACGCTGCGATGAACCCTCCAACACCCCATACCCCGACCCGCACTGCCCGATGAGCAAAGAACCTATTAGTACACAGCTTGGAGGACGCCGCCGCGCTGTCAGCATCCAGCTCAAGCACTCCGGGGCCTCCTCGGCAGGCGAATGGCTCCACCGCACCCCCGCGGGCCCGCTCTCCCCGCGGGCCGGGCCCGCGCCCCGCCGCCGCCCGGCCGTACCTGGAGGACGCGGTGGCAGAAGGCGCGGACGGAGCGGAGCGAGGCCAGATCCAGCTCGCGCACCACCAGCTCGCCGCCGCCGCCCTCATCCTCCGCCCGCTCTCCCACCTCGGCCCGGATCTCGCGGGCTGCCCGCTCGGCCCGCGCCCGGTCGCGGCAGCCCATGATGACGCGGGCCCGCATCCGCAGCAGCTCGGCCGCCGCTGCCCGGCCCAGACCGCTGTTGGCCCCCGTGATGATGACCGTCTTGCCCCGCATGGAGGCCCCACACACGACGGCTGCCCGAGCCGCGCCGCGCAGCCAGCGCCAGGCCGCCAGCAAGATTCCGCCGCCCAGCGTCAGCCCCAGCGCCGCTGCAGCCATCCCGCCGGGCCGAGCGGCGCTCCGCCCGAAGGGCCCGCACCGGGCTCGCTGGGGACGCCTTCGCATTGGCCAACGTGGCGCTGCGCATTGTGGGGGTTGTAGTCTTCTGCCGCTAGGCGGAGGGCTAGGTGAACTCGTTCTGTTTATCGAAAGTATATCAAATTATACATGCTTCTTTTCCGGGCTAAGTAGGGGAGGTCCGCACACCTTACCAACCTAAGGTCACTGTGGTTTTGGCAGAACAGGTAACATGTCGTGATTCCGAGACTTTTGTTGTCCCTACATACTGGCTTTGACAATCATGACAAATGGCCATAGGGGGGGCTGGAGGGGGCTCTCGATAGATAGAGTCAGCTAATTTACAATTCATCCATTCATACAATTCACAGTACAAATTGAGCTCTTAAAATCGACTGTGCTTGATTAACAAATATATGTAAGAACAACACCACATAATAACAGAATCATAGAATGGTTTGGGTTGGAAGGGACCTTAAAACTCATTTACTTCCAACCCTCTACCATGAGCAGGAACACCTTCCACTAGATCACGTTGCTCAAAGCCCCGTCCAACCTGGACTTGAACATTGCCAGGGATGGGGCAACCACAGCCAGGACCTCACTACCCTCACAGTGAAATACTTCTTTCGAATATCTAATCTAAATCTACCTGCTTTCAGTTTAAAGCCACTTCCCCTTGTCCTATCCCTACGCACCTTCTAGAATCTCCCACTCCAGATTTCTTTCCCTTTAGGTACTGGGAGCTGCAATAAGGTTTCCCTGGAGCCTTCTCTTCCCCAGGCTGACCAAGCCCAGCTCTCTCAGCCTGTCTTCATAGGAGAGGTACTCCAGCCCATGGAGCACCTCTGTGGCCTCCTCTGGACTCACTCCAACAGGTCCTTGTCCTTCTTATGTAGGGGCCCCGGAAAATCACACTATTTGATAACCTGTGTGTGACCTTTTCCTTTCAGGAACTGGAGAGTCTGAGTCAATTAATAAATCATAATTGCCTTGATGCTATTTCAATATGCTCGTGTAGGAAATCCCATAAATTTAATAGCAGTGTAGTTTGTCAGTTCCCAATAACCTTTTAAGAGTTAATATTTATTTACTTTTTTTTGCTATTGCAGTTGCGAAATGTATTGATTTACTCTCATAACTCTCATAACTAACTGTGATGTTGATTACTAAGGCCTTGTCTTCCTTAACAACTACCAGGTCTGCTCTATATGAGTTTTGCTCGTCCTTCAGCAATAGCTCCTGTATCCCCACCTGTTCTTTCTTCTTGGTTTCATTTGCTAATATATCACATATCATCATTATGCCTCTTAATTCCAGCAATTTGTTGGCCGTTGCAGGCCAAGCATAGTCCCGGAGGGCACTTACAATATTTCATTATCAGTCGTTGAGTCTCATGGCAGACTAAATGCTTCTGCAATAGCCATTCTCTCTACCTTGGGTCTTCAGCATGAGACACAGAGGCTGTGGCCATAGATGTGGTGGAGCCAAGAAGGCTCCCAGCATAGAAATGCAACATCTCTGCTGACGTACTGCAACAGCAGCCTGGGGCAGAATTTTGACCCAAGGCTGTGGGCTAATCAGGGCTCTCCCACAGCTCATGAGCTCCTGCTAGGCAGTTTGGAAGCAGCCATTGTGTTCTCGACAATTAGCATGTGCGTGGACTTTTCCATGCCAGATGGCCTTTGTGCCAATGGAATGCTCTGGGAAAGTTTAGGATAGAAGTAGAATGAGAGAGTATGTCAGAATGATATGCAGAGACCTACCCCCATGCTGCCTTCAAGACCAGATCTCTTTCTTAGATATTTCAGCACGTTCTGAGACTCTGGATCAAGCTGGATCATGTGTTTGAGAGTAGCAGAGGTGTTAGTACATGGCCAAGCATGTCTTGGTACCTGCATGTTGCAAGCAAAAATGATAAGGTTGGGGAATGTTACAAGGTTGTTATGGTGGTATCTGCTCTGATAGCTACTCTAGAATCTATAAGAAGAAAATGAACTCACTCAGAGGAAATCAGGACAGCATACCAGTGAGGTGACAGTCAGACCTGCTGAACACATAGTTCTAGGACCAACCTTAGCTTAGAGGCAGCCTGTTTGAGGTAACCAAATTTAGTGGTCTTCAGGACTAAGAGGGTCTGTTCCATCCCAGCATGGAAGAAGCGAGGCTGCTTGCAGAAAATACATGTACATCCACTCACTCACCTCACAAGCACACTCACATTCACTGGTCTCTTAAATATTAGCATGGACCCTAAATCCATCCAATATCTATACCAAGAGACATTGGCACCAGCTCTGCTGCTGCTTTTTCTCAGGTGCTGGTTTATCCTTTTGCCCAATTTGACACGGGGTGATGGTACACATATGCACATAATGTGGGTCCCTCAAATAGCTGGTTTGGTAGCTCATGCCTCAAATGGACCTCTCCACCTGTTGTCACTGAGACCCCTGGGCTCCTCAGACCTGCAAACTTAATTTTGAATCCTTAACCCAAAACCTGTTTTCAGCCATCGACTTCATGTCATGTCTCCAGATCCTGCTTTTACTAATCCTAGACCTTGATGAAATCACCCAAGGCAACATGAACCCATCCAGGGAGTCAGGAGTGGCCACTGAGGGTTCATCATCAAAATCTCTTTCACCCTAGCCCTGAGAGAGATGCTAACAGAAATGTACAGAGACAATTAAAAGTAACTGAATTTTTATCAACAGCAATGTAAGTTAAAAAAAGATGTTTGACAAAAAAAATCCAACCAAACAACAAACCCCTCCCCCCTGAAAACAAACAGCAGTAATAGAGTTCAGTGATAGAGTTCAGTGCAGATTTAGGAATAAGACAGGAACAATGAGGATAGAACACGAATTAGGAGAAGTTCAGGATCAGGACTAGGTACCAGCATGCAGGTGAGTAGAGTCTCAGGAGACAACTGTCTATGGGGGAGATCAGAAACAAGCTTGGCTGATAATAAGCACGTCTGTCTTGAGTCAAGACCTAGAACATTTGGGGAAATGTGTAAGAATGTAAGAAACACAACAGGAAACCCATCAATGTTTCATCAGGTGTCTGGTGGCTGGTCTGGATGCAAACATTTGCAGTAGTAACCACCCCTTAACTGTCATAAATTGATGCTACTCACAGTCACACTCCTGCAGTCTGTTCTGAGGCTGACTTCAGTTCAGGTTACAGCTGAAGAAACATATCAGATTTTTCTGAAGAAACCTTACCATGTGTTCTCTGGCTGTCTCTCATACTTCTCAGGAAGTTCAAGGGCTGTGTAGGCACCACATTTAAACACAGTGGATTCGCTGAGAGACCTGTCTTTGTATTCACCACAGAAAAATCTTTCTCCATTTTTGGCTCTTTACTCCATTGTGAGACTCATGGCTACACCAAAGGGTATTTTAACCAGGTCACACCATTGTGCCTGCTTCTGATACAGGTGGCTTTTGGCATTCTTAAAATGACATAAGAGCCATAATCAGCTTGAGGTGTTCTCCTATATGGTCTGTCATAGTAAATCATATCTCTGGGAGGTGTCAGAGACATGCCTACCTCTGCTGCCCAATGACCTTGCACTGCTTTCTCAATCTATCTGTTGCACTCGAGATGGGTGTGTGCTGTTTAGTAATACTGCACACCCACACAGGTTACAGCATCTGGCAAAGGAGTCCAAGGGACAGTGGGTACCCGATTCCTGCATCCTTAGGACAGATCACAGTCCAGGAACACAGAAGGGTGCATGTTGGAACACATGCAATGATTACCATTTCCAAATTTTCACCTGAAATAGTTTCCTCCAGAGGTTTGTTTCACTATGCTACCCTGGACACTCTAAGGATGCCTTGGAGGTGTGAAGTAACAGAGGAACATGGGTTTATTAAGTCTTGGTAGCTGGTGTGAGGTATCCAACGCACACAGAGAATATGTTCTCCTGTAACAAAAAGAAATAAAAAATAAAAGAAGTCAACCTTCAAGAGCTGATTTCCAACATTTTTGTCCATGGCAATTGGTAGCAGTGGGAGACATCATTACCTTTTGTCTTACCTGGACTCATCACTGTGATGTGGTGCACAAACCTGGAAGCTAAGGGAACAAGGACTGGCTTTGCCTGACAAAGTTCTATTTCCACAGAGAATTCGATCTGTGTTATCATTAATACTCTTCCATATTTTGGCTGGGATGACAGTTTCTTTTTCACAGGTCTGTCTTCCAGTGTTACAAACAAGCTGATAGACAGGACAGACCAGAACCATAGGACTCAACTCTATTCCTCTATTGAAAAACTTTATCAGTTGTTGTAACTGTGACTGGCTTAGGGTCATGAAGTTCCAGGACATAAACTCATGGTATCTTCATGACCATGAGAAGCGAGATGGTTTTTGTTGGGTTTTGTTGCTATTTACTTGCTTGTTTTGTTTTGTGGACCGGAATGTTACTGAGACGATTCTGGTCTATGTCTACAAAAATAGAAAAACCTTTCCCCCAGCTCTCACCCCATTTCAGAGAATTTTCTTGAAAATTATTTGGACCCACTAGCCAAGTTGTGTCTTAGAGCAGCAAAGAATAATTGTAATGGGCAGAGACTACTTGGCAACCCTGCATCTCCCCAGACATCCATATTAGCCTGGAAGGCACCTGCATGAATGAATGAGGCTCCACTTACCCAACGTGCTGCCAGCTGGATATAGAGAAGCAGCTGTCAAGCTTGGGACAGTTTCATTATAATTAAAATGCAGTGCATAATCTGAACAAACATGTAAGGGCACTTTACTCAACTAGTTTAGGAGAAGTGATTGCAGGAGAACTGATTGCAGACCTTAACCTTCTGGATGTTAATTTCAATTTGAATCCTATCACAAGGAACGTAAATTCTACTATGTAATTTTAATATGTGAACCCTTTCTCTTCACACATGCCTTGGTGCTGTCAGGAATGACACTGGAAAAGGTAGTTCTCTAGTACTACCGGAGCTGGAAGCTCCTCCTAGCCTGTAGGTTTAA